ACAGTTATAAGAATCAGTGCTAAACTGTCAAAATGATAATTGTGTTTAGGCCAAGTTACAATTCATATGAGGATGAACACCCCAGCGGGTTTTCTTTCTATTGGGGGATGTTGTACATGCTGCTATGACGATATGTCCACTCACAGGATGAGTGACTTCAACAAACTCGCCCCTCAAAGGGTAAAATAAATAAAAAAAAAATTCAAATCAATGTCCCTTAGAACCGCTGAAGCAGCAAATACTAAGACAATGGAGCAATTGAAATTCCAGCAGGAAAATTTCACTAGGATAATAGGGAATATCTTTGACAAACCGCCGGCTTTCTGTCCTGGTCGAGGCCACTAGAAAAATGGTGGCCCAGAGGTATATGTATAAGTGCGTGTGAATTCAAGCTTGTATATGCATCCAAGCAATAGGAATGTATGTAAATTGCGAGACCATATTTATAAAAGAATGTTTGGATGTATATATATAATGTAGGCTTTATAAATGTGTGTAAATGTAGGACATTTAAATGTATGAAAGTATGTAAAAGGTGCAAAAGCAAATGCGTTAAAAAAAGTAATAAGGATGGGTCAGGGGATTAGGTGGCAACTGCATGTGTGGGCTGGCTGGGTCTCTCTAATCGGGTTTGCTTCCTGTTCGACACGCGTCCTGCTGGCATCCTCAGATTCTCCCACAAGTCTGTACACACACACGAGCGGTTAGGAATCTATGTTCCTTGTGCGCGGCAAACTAGCAGTACATTGAATTTCTCGAAGACTGTTAAATATTATAATGATCAAAACACTTGAGGTAACATATTAACAGCCTGCTTGACATGACAGCTATTGACATTATACCGATGACTGACGTATTTACACTATATTGATGACTGACGTATTGACACTATATTGATGACTGACGTATTGACACTATATTGATGACTGACGTATTGACACTATATTGATGACTGACGTATTGACACTATATTGATGACTGACGTATTGACACTATATTGATGACTGACGTATTGACACTATATTGATGACTGATGTATTGATACTACTGTTAGCACTTTAAAGCGCGCGGGCTCCCGTGAAAAAAAAAACCCTGTAGTGCATTGTGCGCGCGGCGTTTTGGGCTCTGGAGCGTAAACACCAAAAAGTGTGTAATCTTTTCACTCTCCTGACACTAATTCTCGAGCTACGTATTTCATTTTAGTATCAATGTGTTGGCAATAACATTCTCTACAAGATCATATACATAACATGTCACCAAAGCATTAGCTATTCCACCACGAAATAAATAAAACGTAGATCACTCGCCATGACGCCCAAACAGCAACAAAATGTTCATACTCTTTTGTTTGTTGTCAGCTCCACATTAGTCCTACAGCGTTATATATCACTGAACTCGCAATAAAATTCCGTACACAGACATATGCATATAAATGTAGAATCATGATCGCGGCCCACACCAAGAGTGTGTGAAGTGGGCGATTACCCTCGTGTCAACAACTCAATAGTCTCTCCTCTAAGTTACAATACAATGCCGTTTTCTCAAATAGGCCATGTGCCTATTAGAGAAAACGGAAATTTAATGGCTAACATTTTCATACTAACCCCAGGTCGATCGAAGGGTCCGTCTAATTACCACAAGCTTCAGAAAGCTTCCTGGCAATACGTTAGTAATGAATAAATATGATATGTTAGGTTAGGCTGACCTAAACTAACCTAACCTAACCTAACTTAACCAAACCTAACTTAACCAAACCAAACCTAACTAAACCTAACCAAACCAAACCTAACTAAACCTAACCTAACCTAACCTAACCTAACCGACGCTTGGATCGTCGACTTTATTTGGCGTCACCAGCTCTTTATTTTCGTCTAATTTCTTAATAAAAATATACTAATTCAGATTAAAATTATGTTTTCTCGTGTTGTACATTCAGCACCAACATTATAATGAGTAAATATATCATATTTATTCATTACTAACATAAGCTTTCTGAAGCTTGTGTAGCTTGTGGTAATTAGACGGACCGGTTGTAGCTGATGTGTGGAAAAAGGCTAACATAGTTCCAATCTACAAAAGTGGAAGCAGGGAAGACCCCCTCAATTATAGACCGGCATCATTTACAAGTGTAATAGTCAAAATATTGGAAAAAATAATTAAAACTAAATGGGTAGAACACCTGGAGAGAAATGATATAATATCAGACAGACAGTATGGTTTTCGATCTGGAAGATCCTGTGTATCGAATTTACTCAGTTTCTATGATCGAGCAACAGAGATATTACAGGAAAGAGATGGTTGGGTTGACTGCATCTATCTGGACCTAAAAAAGGCTTTTGACAGAGTTCCACATAAGAGGTTGTTCTGGAAACTGAAAAATATTGGAGGGGTGACAGGTATGCTTCTAACATGAATGAAAAATTTTCTGACTGATAGAAAAATGAGGGCAGTGATCAGAGGCAATGTATCGGACTGGAGAAATGTCACAAGTGGAGTACCACAGGGTTCAGTTCTTGCACCAGTGATGTTTATTGTGTACATAAATGATCTACCAATTGGTATACAGAATTATATGAACATGTTTGCTGATGATGCTAAGATAATAGGAAGGATAAGAAACTTAGATGATTGTCATGCCCTTCAAGAAGACCTGGACAAAATAAGTATATGGAGCACCACTTGGCAAATGGAATTTAATGTTAATAAATGTCATGTTATGGAATGTGGAATAGGAGAACATAGACCCCACACAACCTATATATTATGTGAGAAATCTTTAAATAATTCTGATAAAGAAAGAGATCTAGGGGTGGTTCTAGATAGAAAACTATCACCTGAGGACCACATAAAGAATAGTGTGCGAGGAGCCTATGCCACACTTTCTAACTTCAGAATTGCATTTAAATACATGGATGGCGATATACTAAAGAAATTGTTCATGACTTTTGTTAGGCCAAAGCTAGAATATGCAGCGGTTGTGTGGTGCCCATATCTTAAGAAGCACATCAACAAACTGGAAAAGGTGCAAAGACATGCTACTAAGTGGCTCCCAGAACTGAAAAGCAAGAGCTACGAAGAGAGGTTAGAGGCATTAAATATGCCAAAACTGGAAGACAGAAGAAAAAGAGGTGATATGATCACTACATACAAAATAGTAACATGAATTGATAAAATTGATAGGGAAGATTTCCTGAGACCTGGAACTTTAAGAACAAGAGGTCATAGAGCTAAATAAAGTCCATCTTTGGCTAACTGCCAACAAACTCACCCTTAACATTGACAAAACCTTCTATATTCTGTTTGGCAATAAATCCTCTAGTCTTATAAATCTCAAAATAAACAATACCCAAATTTGTAACAAATTAGATGGCAAATTCCTTGGCATTCTCATTGACCACAAGCTGAATTTCCAGGGACACATTCTAAATATATCAAAAAAAGTTTCAAAAACTGTGGGCATTCTTTCTAAGATCAGATATTATGTACCACGCCCTGCCCTGGTGACTCTCTATTACTCCCTTATCTATCCTTATCTCAACTATGGTATTTGTGCTTGGGGTTCTACTACCCAAAATCACTTACGTCCTCTAATTACCCAACACAAAGCCGCTATTAGAACAATATCCAACTCTGGCCCCAGACATCACTCGGTACCCCTACTCAAATCTCTTAATATGTTAGATATTAAGTCACTGCACATTCTCTCATGTGTATTATACATATATAAAACGCTAAACTATAATGCCAATCCTGATCTTAAAAGCTTCATAGAAGGTTGTAACAGAACCCATGAGCACCACACCAGAAATAAATACAGTTTTGATATTCCTAGAGTACGTCTTAATCAAACTAGAAATGCTCTGCAAATCAAGGGGCCCAGAATGTGGAATGACCTTCCCAACCATGTTAAAGACTGTACCTCTCTCAACCAGTTTAAGATAAAAACTAAACACTACCTAATAAATTCCCTGTAATCTACCTCACTCCTCTATTGTCAACCCATGTCTGTTATTTTTTTTTTTTTTTTTTTTTTTTTTTAATCAACACTGTTTGTCAACCTATTGTATTTGTGCTGCTTTTTCAGTCATGTTCCCCCTTTTTTTTATCTTTATTTGTATTTGTTCTCAACATCTTTTATTCTTTATGCTCAATTAGTATTAAGTTCTAGATATTAATGTTTTCTTGCCCGAAACGCATTGCGTAATAGTGGCTTTAGGCATTGTATGTACTAGCTCTATCTATATATCAATCCATTAATGTAACATCACTTGTATGTATATTCCTTACCTGAATAAACATCTGAATCTGAATCTGAATCTGAATAGATATAAACTAGCTAAACACAGATGCCGAAGAAATATAAGAAAATTCACTTTCGCAAACAGAGTGGTAGACGGAGGGAACAAGTTAGGTGAGAAGGTGGTGGAGGCCAAGATTGTCAGTAGTTTCAAAGCGTTATATGACAAAGAGTGCTGGGAAGACGGGACACCACGAGTGTAGCTCTCATCCTGTAACTACACTTAGGTAATTTCACATATACACATACACACACATTACAACGTGGAACAGTGTCAAACACTTGCACTGTTAAAATAACACTATACTGATGACTGACGTGTTGACACTATACTGATGACTGATGTATTGACACTACTGATGACTGATATAG